CATCGGGCTCCCTGCTCCGCGGGAAGCCTGCTTCTCCCTCTCCCACTCCCCCTGCTTGTGTTCCCTCTCTCTCGCTGTGCCTCTGTCAAATAAATAAAATCTTTAAAAAAAATAAAAATTAAAAATTAAAAAAATAAAATGTTACAAATATAGCTAAAACATCATCCCTCATCTCTTCTTTCTTCCTTTTTCTCAGTGGCAACCATTCTCCCAAAATTGCTGCATGTCTTTCCCATTTCAATTTGTGTACTTTTACCGCATATGTATCTATAATATGTGATATTTTTGTGTTAAATTTTACATAAATATCATACTGAATGCATCATCTTTCAACTTCCTTTTTTCCATTCATTATTATGTTGTAAAGATTTATCTATCTTGATAACATGTAAATAAATTAATTGGTTGTGTAGTACTTCACTGTATGAACAAACGATAATTCATTCATCCTTTCGCCTCCAGGACAATTAGGTTGTTTTGACTTTTTTTTTTTGCTATTACAACAGGGCTGGAAGTAGTGTTCCTTGCCCATGTCTACTTGTACACACATGTAACAGTTCCTCTAAAGTATTAGAAGTAAAATTTCTAGGTTGTAGAACAAGGGCATCTTCAATTTTAGGTTGAATATCCCTCCTTTTGCCCAGGAGTCCAATCCAGAGATGAAAATGGTTGTATCAGTGATTAGCTCTGCAGAGCTGATCAGCTGGGGCATTATCTAGTGCACTTAGGGGAGAAAAAGGAGCTACATTCATTGTCACAAGCCTTATTTGAACAATCTTTGTTTTCTTCCAAAAGCCAAACAAGAGAATATTGGAATTAGTGACTTAAATATCGACCCAACAAAATGATTGCTTCTCCCGTATCCTGGACAGATGATTATACATTCTATCCTTGAATACTACCAAAAACAGAGTTTACAACCTCCCAAATCAGCCCAGTTCTATAAGTTAGAAAGTTTTCTCTTAAATTATCTAAAAACATCTCTGGATGGGAGGGGCGCCTGATTCTGAACTTAACTCTCACGTGAGCCTGTTTTTTCTATGTAAAAATGGGAGTAAGAATAAAACCTAATTCATAAGGTGGTTATGGGAATCAAATGAGTTAGTGTGTGTGTGAACGTATGTGTGCGTGTACATAGATAAATGTATGCACATATACATAATGTATATGTATATACATGTATACATATGCAATATACTCATATAGCACATATGCATGTATATTCATATATGTAGAAAAGAGAGTGCATGGGAGGGCAAGTGAGCTCCTGGTAGATAATAAATAATTATTTTC